AATGACATATGTCCTGCACTGAATTTTTCTGACGCTATAATCATGGCAGGAGCTTTGTACTGGGAAAGCATGTCAGAATTATCTAGAATTGATGGACTTTAGTTGGTGTTTGTTTGCTGGATGGAATTAGATTTGTGGATATATCAGTTTATGGGTGGCTACTTGATTGGTGAATTCACCTGCTATATGAACACTATTTTTAATAAATGGTGTGCATCTAGAGATGTATAAGAACAAGTTTGAGGATAAAGATTCATATAAAGAATTATGTAAAAAATTGTGATTCTTAATATCTTGAGAACTAGCGTATATTTTTTCCACTACATTAGCCTTCAGATTTTTCTTGGATTTGCTTTCTGCACTAATGTTTTCAGTACCATCCTTCTTCCGCGATGCTGCTGCATGCCAGGATTCGCAGTGGCACCGCCGCAGCCAGCGAGGACACAAGCTCACGAGGATTGTTGCCGCTTCGGAGGACATGGGAGCTGCCATAGCCAGCGAGTACGTGAGCGCACGTAGGCACCATCGCTTTCGAGGATGCGAGAGCCATCTCAGCTTGAGAGAATGCGCATACCATCTCCAGGTATATAGCAGTAACATCTCTCCCTAACTCCACTCCGATATGTAACATTTTTTTCTCTCCTATTGTGAGATTGCAGTGTGTGCAACAAGTGTTCCTCTAAACGTCTGAGCGTAAAGACTACTCATGGGTGATGCTTCTGTGACCAGACCTCTATGTATGTCCTTTGCGGCCTTTCCTATAAATAAATTATAAGTATATGTCATTGCCATATTAATTGTGTACTTCTCTATTAGAAAATCACAAGATAGTTTCAGTGTTGTTGTTCTCAATCTTGTTACCCTTAAGTGCAAGACATCAATTTGCTCTTAAGTAAAAGGGAAATTTGAGCAGGAAAGGTAAGCAATTCGAAGCAAGCTCCCGAGATAAATTTTCTTTTGGTTTAGCTAACGAATGCCTTGGTATAGGTCTAATCTCTCCTTCCTAGAGATGGTTCTTTCTTATTTCTTGTTCTTTCTTATTTCTTTTACGGGGACTTACTTTTGTTTCTTTAATTAGGATACCTTCACCTGGTATTTTTTGTTTTAATTAATGAATATAGATTTGTCTCAACCAAGCTAGCCGTATAGTAGAAATTCAGCATGCACACAAGGTGATCTGGTTGAGTTTTACTAGGTAACCGTACCATTGTTGTCTGCATGCTGAAAAGCTTATGGGTATGTACTGAAACTAAATTATACTCCCTCCGTCCGGAAATACTTGTCATTGAAATAGATGTATCTAGATGTATTTTAGTTCTAGATACATCTATTTTCATCCATTCTGATGACAAGTATTTCCGGACGGAGGGAGTAGTTGTTAAGGATTATTTGCAGACAGGTCAAGACCGGAAGATGTCATCATTATCCCTAAACTGAGATGTCTTCAGGATTGGAAATGTCACGAAGGCCCCCGTACAATTATAGGTACCAACATATAAAAATCCAAGAATTTCCTGCTAAGAGACACTCGACATGCAAACTTAAATCATGCTAGAATTCGTCAAATACCATGTTTAACCTGAATTAGTTACTTGACATGTGCCTATCTTCTTCTTTTTCCAAATTATGTGTTCAATTGTTCATCATATTATTGATGGAATTAATTTTGCATCGATTGTTTGCACCACTTGATAATTACAACGAAAGTTATGGATGTCCAATCTGGCTGGTTGTTTGTCTACTACTAAAGCTTGTACATATTTGCTTAAATTTGAATACATGTCAAAAAAAATCTCCCGTTGCCACACACACATCCGTGGCAATTGTTGAAAGCTCTGAATGCTTCACTCTTTGTTCTGATGCTTAGGGATATTGGGTAGAATCCAGTGTCACTCATGATCCTGGTTTAATAGAGGAACTAAATTGATCATGATTTTGAATGTCAAATGTCACACAGGGAAGGGCCTGAACATGAACTTACTTGGTAATGCCCATTTGTGTAGATCGGTAGCCTGTGGCATCTATTTTGTCCAATCGTCCGCCACGAACAAATTTTCTTTTTTGGGTGCTGGTGGTTCTACTTCCAATGTTTTTGTAGGACATTGCTCGGTTAGTAATGACTTTGAATGTAAAGCGTGCTATGAAGTACATGATGCGCTGTGTAGTTCCCTCAATTACGTGAAGAAGAAGAATGGCAGCAAAGACTTATGGTATGATACCTTAATATATTTGATTGTCTTGATACCGTGTTTCCTTTCTTTTTCATATAGGAATTACACTAGGTTATTTTTACTATGAAACACGAATTCCACTGTTATCAGGGGGTTTGAAACCTAAGGCAGAGTCACTGTTTTCTCTCTCCAGGGTCAATTTTGTTTTTCTCGCTTTAGAATATTTTCTAACCATGTATCTAAAACTTGCAATATGCTACTTACTAACTATGGCCTTGCATAGGATGGAAGATACACTCATCGTCACACATATGTTTTCACTCATCGTCAAGCATTGCACTCCCAATGTCCATATATTGTTCAATTACCACTGATGTCGACCTAGGTTATAAACCAAAATAAGACAATCCTTAGCATGGTTTTCCAAGCTATGTCGCTCTTTGAGACATGCTTGATAATTACAAAAACATTGGAAGTTGAAAAATGTTTATCCTTAAAGACTTTATTTTATAAGTTTATTTGTCACAATCAAATATATGCCTCTATATTTGTTCAGATTCCTGCAATATGCTATATTGAAAATTGATTTGTTAAATTTGCATGGCCAGATGGTCATATGGATAGAAGTATTAGCATAAAAAAACCCAGATATTCCACAAATGAAGGGCCTTCTTTAACTGAATTGAGTGTACACAATGCAAAGCCTTCGCCCAAGAGTATGACAATGATGCTGAACAAGCCCTCAAACCTATGGCATTTAAATAAACTGATCGTGAACTGAAGCTATGTGAACGATGGGATATTTTTGTTCGTAGTAATAAAAATATTATTGCAGTAACTTACATTGAGGTTACATACACAGGGATAGAGAGAGAGAGGACATGACGAACGTTAAGCGGTTTGTAGTTGGGGGAGGGGCGGATCTGGAGCCATGCTTAGGGCGTGTGCTATTTGTTTTCCCGTTGCAACGCACGGGCAATTTTCCTAGTAATATATTTAAACTTGCAAGTCAAAACAAAAAGCATGAGAGCTACGGTTGGTGGGGCATGCACTCTGTCAAAAATTGCATTCATGCTCTAACTAAGCTCTAATCATAAAACCACTTTTCAGATCTTAGCGCAATCATATGGCTGCATGCATGCGTGTCGTAAATCGTGTTCCTTTTTTTTGTTGGAAGTGTCAAAATAGCAATGGTTCTCTTGAAACTGGCAACAATTAAATTATCAATATCCTGAAAAATGCAATTATGAACTATCCAATATCAGCAAGCAATTAACATATTGTCTCATAGTACTTCGAAAATAGAAACTTATCTGATATTAATATGCAATGCTATTAATATATGGACTCTAATAGGGAGATAACATGTCGTCCCTGGCCCCCGTGGCACGAATGAATGGCTAGATCAAGCCGTGCCGTCTAATGGCTGTTCATGCGGCCCGTGACCCCCTGCCATGTCGGCTCTGACAGCGGAGCCTGCCTGTCAGTTTTGCATCAAAACGCAGTCAACCAAGCAGTTAGTGTTCCTGTTTTTTCAAAAGTCGGTGTTTTCTCAAACTTTAGAGTTTTGATGGTTTTTGATAAACTTCGACACAATTGTGATGGTTTTTTTGCAATTTATTCTCACAACCGAGTCTATATAACTAACCTGCTGGTGGATAATATCTCCCTGGTCTATTTTATAGAGGTAAAGGGCCAAAACCAAGCTGCGGTCAGTTGGGGAGCCAAATTGCAAGTGCATTTCAAGTGAGGTTTTCAGAACCATCGGCTGGAATAGGAAGGGCAGTGGCCAATGCTGTTCCTGGGGTGCGCTGTAGTACTGTTCTTTTCACAAGTCTTTTGGTTTGCTTTATGCTGGTTGTGTGCTCGTTTGCCTGTTGGAGCAACCTGCAAATGTTCAAAGACGTTCACAAGTCTTTTGGTCCCTCTTTTTTTTTCCTATTTTGCAAACACCCATTGCTTGATTTCCTCTTTCAAAATAAACATCTAGAAAAATGCATTGGAGGATTCTATTTCTTAGAAAAAAGTTGATTTTTCTGTTTGTTTTAAAAATGTGGCATTGCCTTCCGTAAACAAATAGCATTGCCGAGCACATGTCGCAGTAGGGTTTCGATAACAGGTCTAGATTACTAATTAACCTCTAAGTAGTAAAAAAATAAGGTTCTCAATTCCAGTAAAAAGAAAATTCGTAACCGACCAGTTACCGGTTTACCGGCCCCTCCGGTGGAGAATATATACTGGCCGGAATTGGCTGGTGTTGAGAAAATTCCCTTGAATTCAACAAATTTGGTTCAAATGTTAAAGAATTCAAAATTTGTTCAAATGATTTTGCATGGAAATTAATCGAAACAGATCTGAGATTTCCAAGGTTTACTGGAAACCGATTCTTCCAGGCCCTAAATAAACATCATATAGAGAGAGAAAAAAAGGCCTTGGTCCAAACTCCAAATATCATTTTATAATTTAATTTGACCCAAGAAAAGTATAGTGTCACCACTACATGAGCGGTTCAAGCCTCGGTCTCTAGGGGCAATGGACTATAACCAACAGATATTCATGGTTCAGTACTAGCTCGCTGCAGATGTGGACCTTGGATCATGTCACAGAAGCGAAAACGATCACTCTCATCTCATCAGATGCCAATCATGTTATAGGCAAAGAAAGTTCAACTCTGAGCAACACATAACATGTCTAAACACGGGGCACAGTGCGCACTGGCGGAGTTTTAGTTACAACACAGGTTCCCAGCGAACAAGCAATAGCAGCATCTTTCAGTAACACAGAACCCTTTCTTATGTAGTACAAATTGTAGTTCAGCAATGGGGCACATCACTCCCTTCTTCGGCTTTTGTGATGGTGGTGGTGGCAGTGCCGATGCTTGGCTTTCTTCTTGTCTTTTCTCTCCTTTCTCTCTTTTTTCTCCGACGATCTCCTCCCCTTTTTATTTTCCTTCTTCCTGTGTGGTTCTGGCTCACAAGAGCTGGATGGCTTATCATCCAATGTTTCCTTATGCCAACAATCATCGGGAGACTTGGATCTCAGAAACAGTGGCCTCTCCGGACCTTGCACTCGGCGTTCCCATTTCTCTTCCAAACGTATATCCGGGCTAGGTTCTTTGTCTCGACAATGCGATGAAGCCTTTAGGTATGGACCAGGTTCGTCCATCCTAGAGCCAACCGCACCTCTTCCTCGCTTTACCCTAACATGGCACCAGATTTCATATTTTGTTAACAAAGCTGAAAATATGCAATGGATGCAAATGTGCGCATGTTAAACATAACACCCCCCTTGAAAAACATCACCTAATAGGATATGGCAATCTCAACAGAATAACGTAGATAATTTGCATCAATAGTTTGACATAAGCAGAGAAATTCTTAGTTATCTGGCAGGTGTCAATCAATATATTGCCCGCTTGTTCTATGAAGAAACTAGTAGACATTTAAACTAACCTTGAATGCAGAAACTTTTCAACTTCATCATCCCCTAGACCATCATCCTGGTCTGAGTAAGAACTATTATAAGCAGTTCCTTCCTCAATCTTTGAGCTGGAACTCATATTTCTCGAGTCACCTTTGCGTTTCTCCCCTCTGGAGTCACCACGCTCTTTATTTCTTCTTTTCAGCTTACACTCAAGTTCAAGTTCCTTCTCCCTGGCACGCCACATTTCATCAACCTCCACAACACGGTTTGCTGCAGGAGGGACAATCGTCAATTTAATAATAAAATCGCATGAGAAAGTTAAATGATTCGATTTCACGATATAATGAGCAATATGAGTTCAAAAAGGGACGTGGGGTTTCTACTCCGAGCACATATGGTCACTATATCTGCGCTGCTGACTGTTGTCTCGTGATCTGCTCCAGTTCTTTTACCTGGGAAATACTAAGCGGTATTAAATGTGCTTTTGTTTGGCATACATATGCTGGTGTCATGTTCTGTGGGGCAGGAAAACGGCAGACGTCCGGTGGGGCGTGCGAGTCATTGTTACTTCCGTTGGAGACTGCTGGGCGTCCCTAAGGCGTCGCCTAGGCGACGCTTAGGCGTCAGGGCGCCCTGCGAGGGCAAGGCGTCCACCTCGCCTTAGGTGGGTGTCTAAGGCGTCCGCCTTAAGCTATAAGGCATCCGAGGCGTCTGCCTAGGCGTCCGAGGCGTTGCCTTAGTCCATTTTGGACGCCTTAGCTTGCCAGGCAGGCAGGGGAGCTGTTTTAGGCGGGAAACAGAGTTTTGGCGGGAAACTGGAATCATGTTGGCGCCAACAGGTAAGAGGGGAGAAAGAGAGAGAGAGAAACAGCCCCCAATCCACACACTCCTCCCCCTCCTTCTCTTCAGTGGCTCCTCTCCAGCAGATCTGGTTCCTCCTCCTCTCCAGCAGCTCCTCCCCCTCCTCTCCAACGGTTCCTCCTCTCCAGCAGCTCCTCCTCTTCCTCCTGTCCAGCAGCTCCTCCTCCTCTTCCTCCTGTCCAGCAGCTCCTCCTCATCCTCCTGTCCAGCAGCTCCTCCTCCTCTGCAGTACAGCAACAACAAGCAAGAGCAACAGTATGCCCAATGCGGAGGGGGAGGATTCAGACTACGTTGAGGATGATGATGATGTGAGCAATGACGATCAAGAGCCAACTAATGTTGCCCAAGATGGTGAAGACAACACCAATGCCAATGAGTTTGATGATGATGACTTTTGATTGAGACTTTGAGAGTGGAGAGACATGAGAGAGCTGAGCTGGCCACCTTTATCCCTTTTGCTATGCTGGAGTTATCTATTATTCTGTTTGTCTTATGTGGACTACTGGACTTGTGTCATTTGAATTGGTTAATGGTTATGTAATATGCCATGCATTGCAGATTGCAGTTGCACTCATACTTGCTATCTTTCTTTCCACTTTTGTTCGCTGCCTCACTTTTATTTCTATTTTTTGTGGAATGTGCACTGGTAAGTGATACATTATTCTAACATATTTGTTCATGACTTCATGTTGATGCAGAATTCTGTTGGGGAGAAAAGCAAGTGCAAAGAGGATGGGGGCTCTACAACAATCAGTTGCAAGGTGTGTATGGCTGTATGCCTAGTTGCTTAATGCCTACCAAATTCTACTTAATTCTGTTGCTTACAAGTCTCTAAGGCGTCGCCTCGCCTTATGCCTCAGCGCTTAGGCAGTGAGGCGCCCCCCCAGCGCCTCGCCTCGCCTTACCGCCTTAAAAACATAGGTGGAGTGCATGTACTGATAAGGTTAGCAGGGACAAGATTTAGGCTATAATCAAGTCATTACATATAGATTTGTGGCAAAGGATCTTTCTTGACGCACTTGTAGATCCGGGTGTGAGAGACGAAGTTGATGAACTTGTCCCGGCAAGAAATCAGCAGGAGGATTTTGTTGGTAGCTGAGGACGAGTTAATGGGACTGCTCAGGATGGTGGAGAAAGGTGCAGATGGCCCACCGTGAAACGACGTCTGGGCCAGAAGACATCTGTGGGTATCCGGCACAATAACTCAGCGACCAGTGTGGGCCAGATCAACAGTGAAGGAGGAAATAAATACCGATCTTTATACAAGGTACAGTACCAGAACCTTCACGAATCTAGGAGAGAAACAACGTGCGAGATAAGCCGAGCATCTGTGCTCGCGCACAGATTTACACTTTTGGTTCAAAAATACTTATAAAGTACTCCCTCCGTCCGGAAATACTTGTCTTCAAAATGGAGAAAATGGATGTATCTATAACTAAAATAAGTCTAGATACAACCATTTCAAGGACAAGTATTTCCGGACGGAGGGAGTAGTCATTAGTGCTTATTTAGTTAACCACCCCGAGTTAGAGGAAGCAATTTAAAGTGGTGCCTACATGATTGCAAATTTGTAACTGCCTTCAATTGTTGTGATTAGTTTTGGGTGAATTCTCCTAATGAGAAGGTTTCAAGGACATAAAAAAACATTTCTTCAGTAAAAAGCATGATTACAGCTGCTTTGATCAGGTAATCAACACAAGGAGGCAAGGATAATGTAAAAGAAACATGATGCTAACCTTGTTGAACTCCACGAACTGTGGCTGTGAGGAACCGGGAGTTTGGACGATGCCTAACATTGGGCTTTCGCAGATATGCATGAACACCTTCCCTGTCAGCCTCTGACTGTAATCTCCGTGCTTCTTCAAGGAGTAATGAAGCTAGACGATTCTCTGTGTCCAGATCCATTGCCTAATTTGAACTTCAGCAACTATGAAGACAGAAATGAAATATTTAGTACATTAAACAATATTAAACTCTGATCTAAAGCAGCATCAAAAGAACAATTTATTAGCAGTTAAATCACAAGTATGACAGAAGGGTGGGCATGGCGCAGTGGGTAGTCTCTCCACTTGTGGCCTGGAGGTCCTGGGTTCGAACCAGCCTCCTTGCAGAATTATTATGCAGGAGTAAGGCGTCCAGAAATTGCCTTCCCCAGACCACACCTTGTGTGGGAGCTTTCAGCACTGTGTACGCCCCTTTTCAATCACAAGTATGACACCAAGGTTCTACAAACTGAACTTTACAACAAAAATCCAATTTTCACACCATATTTCATGTTTGATAAAAAAAATACTACTTCCTCCGTTTTTAAATACAATGCCACTATCAAAAATACAATTTGCATCTATACAAGGCTACTATCCCTTCCCAAGAAGAATTGATTAGATTTTTGCCTCGCACGATGGTGGTTATTAATGAATATGTTGCATGCAGCAATAGAGAAAGAGGCACCACATGCAAAAAAAATAATTAGCCCGGAACATGAGAGATTTTCGGTTTTCCACACAATTAATGGTGCTATTTATTAGTTGGCTTTGTTTTCTTGGCATCTGAAAAATGAGATAGTGGCCTTGTATACAAAAACGGAGGGAGTATAAATTATGAACAAAACTGGGGTTTTCACTTCAAATTTTACCATTTGTTTGGCTGGATTACTAACCTGCCTATAGTTATGAAGAAATTTTAAATTCTTGTGAACACAATGAACAGTTTGGCCCACATTTACGCCATAGTATATGTTCGATCAGAAGCAAGCTGCATGATTCAAGACAGCGGAGCAGTGCATGCCAGTCAGTGCAGGCAAAGATGCAACAGGGCAAGCAGCATGGATCTGGTCCCTTCGAGTCGACAAGGTGTAGGTGATGCTCGGATGTGGGCTCTCTTGAACAAATAAACGGAGTTGCGATTCTTAACTGTTGCACCAAACGGTCCCATAAGATAATGAGCCCGTTCTACAAATTTATTTATTCCAATTAGGGCCTTAATGAGCACACAACATGAAGCGTGAGAGGCGAAAAGTACAGACGCCTCATGGCTCACACAGTCACATAAACCTAAGTCTGACTCATATGTTGTATTACGGTTGAATTTACACAAACTCCATGTTAGTGTTGTTTGTTGGATCAACTGCATATGTCAAATTCATTTGTATATTACTGCAGAACTACCTAATAACATAAGGCAATAGTTTTTTGTTTTGTTTTGCGGAAAACATGAGGCAATGGGTTAATTGCATGGTTTTCGAGTCGCGACTTGGATGAGTCGTTCTGGGGTAGCCACTCGGAAAAAGTCGAGCCTGCCGTTGCGACTAGTCATGACTCGAGTCATGAGTCGACACTAAGTTGAGTCAACATTTTTTTGCGACTCATCGACTAGTCGACGACGAGTCGCGCGACTCGAAATCGATGGTTAATTGAGGAGCTAACATTATCATTTGTCAATTATGCTTCAAGAATTAAGCGAAAAATAAGTTCATTGCTTCAAGACGATTGTACATACCACAAAGTACATAGTTACAAAATTTTGTTTCAATGAGATTATTGTTTTATTCGACGGGCTTGGTGGTCGTGGGGGTATATTTTGGACAAATAAACATGTTGATTTGTTTTACAATGGTGTCATGATCTGACATACACACTATATCTAAGGTTTGATGCATTGTTGTGTAGTATCTTTGGCAAGCATAGTTTGTCCTTTTTAGCCTACTAGCACAAATAAGATTGGTGACCTATAACCTTCTTGTGTCTGCTACCATCAATATCCCATGGCTCGGGAACTATTTATATGATTGTAATGTGTCATTTAAATCTTAACAATAGGAAGTTTCTAGTTTTCAGGTTGCTAGTCATCCAAATATGTGTTAGACACTCCTGGTGTTCTATCTCCTATATTTGCTAATGACGGATCTGGTCTCAGGCTAGTTTTGACAGGTAAAGACTCCTACGAAGTTTAGGGTTTCACTTATCATTATATATTATTATCCGATGCATGCACCTCTATTTCAGGAGCAATTAAGGATTCCTTGTTAAAAGGAGTATGAAATTGCGCAATTTCTTCTTACAATTCTTAACTTAAGGAATGCAGGGGGTGGGAGAACCTGAATCTAGACAGAGATAAATCTTATTTTGCTGATGCAATTCCCACCAGGAGTTGCCATACTAAAAGGCAGTACTCCTCAGATCATACCCAGGTAAATATCGATGAGTATTCTAGTTATTACATCCTACTATTTATTGCAATTTCTTACTAATAATGCTAGAAAATGGATATATTTCTCATTATATAACGATTTTTAAGAGCATTGAATTATTGGTTCTGACATGCATACTATTAGCTAGCTGCCGTGTTTTAATTGCTTCGTTTTATTTGTGTGCAGGATTTTATCGTTAGAGCCGTTCGTCAAGCGCTTTCTGAGACCATAGCATCTTTTCAAGGAGATTTAGGAAATGAGAATGATTTAAGAAGATTGGTAGAAATCTAGTTTACAGACTTTGCAGAATGCTTTCAGGATTTTTGAAAAATAAAAGAAGTAAGAACATAAATTGAAGAGGAATTAAGCAACAACAAGAAGAACAAAAAGCTATGACAAGGGGGGCCAATCTTAATCTTCCTGGACTCTCATAATACAAAACACCTTTGTATCACTAGTGATGATACATATGCAGATTCTTTTGTTGATCATGAAGGAGACAAGGTGCTGCATAGACTACGATTAGGTTTGGCGGTTCTGATCCATACCTAAGTACAAATCTGGAGGCTATTTCCCAAATTTGTATGTACTTAATGTTGTATGTGTTGAATGCGCACTCTGTGTTGTCGCCATTACAAATTTACTCTTCTATTCTAAGTTTAGAATTTTGTTACAATCTTTGAGCAGCCTGCCATTCTTGTGGGCTGAATGGCTGATGAAGATGCAGACAAAACGTCAGCATTTGCTTAATTCTTTATGACAATCTGGCCATAGTTACCCTTTGCAAAAATTATACACTTTTGGGGGCCTCCCCTACAGTTTACTGTCAAAAAATAACCATTCAAAATATGGTTCAGTTGGCTAGCGGCTTAACTTGAAAAATCCTGAAAGTCATGCTGGTGGTTCTGGCTGGCGTATTCATTTGGTTTTAGACCACAGGTGGAATCTAATGACCGGTAGTACTTACCAAGGAATTACCTGCCTGGATGATTACTGTGAAAACATGAGTCTAGCTGGCACGAAGCTGTATGCTCAGGTTCAAGTTTCTACTAGTACTGAAACTTGAGATAATCCTTAGAATTATGACAGCCTTATTATGGTATAATGGTGTGAATCATGCATATGCAGAAATTAAGCAGCCAATGGAGCCACTTTTCAATCAAGTGCATCAGCAGCTAGTACTAGTTGTTAATGTATCCAAGATCTTCTTTAATTAAGAAGCCAAGCCATGGACGGAGCTTATACCTTGCAAGGTGCCGAAGGTGGAACTAGGTCTTGGCTTGGAGGTCGGGATCTGCAGGGCGGTGCCACAGGATCGATCTGCAGTAGAGGCGGCAAAGGGTGGACGGATCCGGCAAAAGATTGCAGTGGATGAGAAGGGATTGACGAGGGCGAGGAGCTGCTGTCGATCGAGTGAACTGGTTAGGGTTGCGAGACGCGATAGAAGGTAGTGGGAAGGAGAGTCGGAGGAGAAGCCTTACCGGCGGCGACCTTGCCGGAGGAGAGGGATGTCGTCCTCGGCGAAGGAGATGGAGCGGGATGGGAAGATCTGGGCGGAGGAGAGGGACCGAGGCGGGTCTGCCTTGGCAGACGAAAGGAATCGAGACGGAGCGACAGGGCGATCTGGCCGGAGGAGAGGGTGGCGGCGGGTGGAGGGGGAGGAGGAGGAGAGGGGACGGGATCGGGAGGGTCCGTCAAATCCACCCAACTGATAGGGTCTGGGGAGGGATTTCGTTCTACCTGGGACCTGTTCGCTGGAATTCGAAAATGAAATCCCAAGTTCAATTCTGTGACATTCGCCACTGATCTCGGCTAAAATGTTCTTTTTTTTTCATCATATAAGAGGAAAATAGAAATGCTGAAAAACATTGTCCGAGTGTACTGCATACTGCGGTATGCCTACAAATTGCTTTTTCTTTATTTTTTTTGAAAAATCATATATCTGATTAATTAAGCAAGGATTGCAAAAGCAACATTGTGGAAACAACCAGATATGGGACAGCTGTCCCCTAAAGCAGAAAACACCCAAGCGAAATCAAAAAATACAGCAAGGTCCCTGGGAAACTTCCTGCAGAAACAAATCCGTAAGGTATTCTCTGCAAGCACTGAAATTATCGGTAACAGATAGTTTTGTGATAAGGTAATTCGTAACGGGTATTAAATAACAAAAGTAAACAAGGTGCACCAAGGTGGCCCAATCCTTTTTGTAGCAAAGGACAAGCCTGGATGAACTCTTATATAAAGCAAAGCGCTCCCGAGGATACATGGGAATTATCGTCAAGCTAGTTTTCATCATGCTCATATGATTCACGTTCGTTACTTTGATAATTTGATATGTGGGTGAACCGGTGCTTGGGTGTTGTCCTTCCTTGGACAAGCCTCCACTTATGATTAACCCTCCTCGCAAGCATCCGCAATTATGAAAGAAGAATTAAGGTAAACCTAACCATAGCATGAAACTTATGGATCCAAATCAGCCCCTTACGAAGCAATGCATAAACTAGAGTTTAAGCTTCTGTCACTCTAGCAACCCATCATCTACTTATTACTTCCCAATGCCTTTCCCTAGGTCCAAATCATGATGAAGTGTCATGTAGTCGATGGTCACATAACACCACTAGAGGAGAGACAACATACATCTCATAAAAATATCGAACGAATACCAAATTCACATGATTACTTATAACAAGACTTCTCCCATGTCCTCAGGAACAAA